TCCTCCCCCCTCCTCCCCCCCAACAGGCTGACAACATTGTAGACAAGATATCGAAGGACAACTCCAACGAGGAAGACCGCCGAAGGAGAGAGGAGGAGGAGCGGTCGAGGCGCGAGGGAGGCTCCTCCAGAACGCCTGTACAGCAGAAGCAAGGCAAAGGCAGACGATGAGAGCTGTGTGACGTCACGCACATCACGTGACCCGCCTCGGCCAGTGAGAGAGCTGCTTCCTTCCCTGTCGTCCTCCGCCATTTTGATGAGATAATTATGGGTCATCGTGACGTACCTAGAAGTGGTATCGCGCTGAAATCAGCCGCTCGTCCCAATAAAGAACTGGGAGATATCTGCATTGTCCAGACTGAAGGGCAATTGTCATCGATTTTTTATTATTAGTTTATTTTTTTGGCTTAACATCTTTTATGACATTCTGAAAGAACATTTCTGTGTAGGTTTTACTGAAAAACGTTGAACAAAGTCTCAAAAATGTAAACTTGCAGTTTCCAAGGACCCTCCAGCTTCGGAAGTCATCTTACTTTGGCCGCCATTTTTTAACCAACGTTACCTGACACCAGGCAACCCCCCCCCCCGTCCTTAAATCGCAAATATCTCAATAACAATTCAAGATAGATTTTTTTTCTTCACCAATTGCAAGATAAATTAACAAACTTAACTTAAAGTTGATACCAGTAACTCCAGATGCCCAAACTATTGACGAGCGGCTGATTGTTTCGCGTCGTGACACAGAGCATGGTGCTCATTTACCACGGCTGTGATTGTTTCCCTGAACGTTGGAAAATGATGACGAGATCTATTAGAACTTTACTATTATTATTATTGACGCATGTCAAATACTGCTTTAATTCTGAACGTCTTCGATGATCTTTTTATTGAAATGTATGACATTTGTATATGTTTTTGAATCTGTCCAAACTTCGATGATGGCTCTATCCAATATTTTGTCAACAAGCTGTTCACAAGTTCTAAATCAAACTTTGGGGGTAGCCTCATACACCAAGTGCGTGAGTTCGATTCCAGCGATGTGGACGAGCCCACAGCTAAACGTGTGAGGGAGATTTTGGACTATCATGAGTTGAGCGAAGTGAGGGCAGCCAGTAATGGGGCC